ACTGAGAGTTATGGCACGTTAAGAACTAACTTGTAGCAAAATGTAACCCTTTTTTAAACCGGAGAGGAATGTGTTTTGTTTTTTTATTTACAATGTTTAAAAGACAACCATTCACTACAATGAAGAAAGCACTGTGCTGGTATAGTGCTGTTTAAGATGAGTGTTATAACAGTGCAGTGTTAAAAGGGCTCTACAACAGCTTGGCCCTCACATGGCTTCTCAGGTCTATGCCAAACAGTTTTGGTGCTTTGAGACAAACTGGAGGTCCTTTGGATACACACACACGGCCTAGCCTCTCAATCAGAGTTATATTTCCACATTAGATTGGTATTGTGAATGTGTATTGTGTAATTTCTGCCATAGCAATATATTGGTGATGAGCAGAGCCATGGCTGCCTGAAGGACCCTTACGTTGTATCGAGTTGCTCGAAAGTGGTTTGACTCAGACAGCGCCAGGGTTCATGAACCATAAATCCTACAGCAGGCAGTAGTGATTAAGATACTTGGTGTGCCCCTTTCATAATAAAATCATGTTCTAAGGAAGGCTTTAACAAATCCTACATGTTAAACAGTGAATACCCAATTCAGCCATGACATGGTGTAGAGCAGTGTAATCTTTGCATTTTGAATTAGAGGTTTAGGGTTATGAGAAACCAGTCTCAATATGTTTTTATTGCAGGGTTTAAATGTGTCTAGAGCATTACCCATGCTGTGGCCGCTGTAGCCCAGCAGATTACTCTGTTGAATGTAACTCATGATATGCACAACAAAAAATAAAGAATTCAAAAAAAAAGTGTGCCTGGAGCAGTGTTCTGCAACCTCTTAGCACCCACGGCCGGCGAAAAGGGGAGAAATATTTTGCGGAAGAATGATTGTGGGTCTGTGGGGTTGGAGGGTAGATTAATAAATATATATATATATTTTTTTTAATAAATAAAAAAAAAATACAAATTTTGATATCCCCCCTCCCTGCTTACCGTTGCCTGGGGGAGGAGGAAGACATTTCCTGCAATCCCTGGTGGTCCTGTGGGGAAGCCCTGGTGGTCCCAGTGGTGACAGAGAACTCTAGCAGCCTAGCAGTCGGGTAAAAGCTTTTGCCGACCTGCAAAAAATTATTGCGGACCGGTGCTGGTCACCACTGCTCTAGAGGTTCTTCCAACACAATAGCAGAGTAAAATTATGCTTTTTCAATCAGATGGTCCCAAAGAGAAAAGTAAAGTAAACTACCGTTTTCCTCCCTACAGGTGGGGGCCAGGCACTATAGCTTTAGGAATACACATTTATGTTCCTTTAAAGTGACACTACACGCACCCAGCTCTCTTCATTTAATTGAAGTGCCGCTGTCCCTTTAACCCTGCAATGAAAATGTTTACATGGCCTTGTTAATGGTCTCAAACAGATTTTAACTCCATGAAATGACATTGGACGTTCTCAGATTCTGCATGAGGACATCCATCGTCTTCAAAATGCCCATAGGAAATCATTGTTTCAGTGCTTTCCTAGGGTGACGCTCTAGTGCGCGCAAAGGAGGGACCTCAATGCTGGAAACGGATAAGTGAAAAGAAGGGCTTTTAAACACTTTTACGCCTGCAGGTAGGGGTGACCTATTAAGTTAGGGACAGGGCGTTACGAATACAGTTTTGTATTCCTAATACTATTGTGTTCCTTTAAGCATAAGAATTAACAGTTAATCTTATTTTTCATACCTCAAATGTAGAGACATGATAAATTCAGAGGATAAGTAAAACTATTAAAAATCCAGAGAAGTGACAAGTCCCCTTTAATTTGAGTAAATATGATGTTTATAAGCTGCTCATAAAAGTAAATACATCTTGGAAATTGTTCTTTCACCAAAGTATGCTTTGACTCATAAGGTTGGGAACCACTGATCTAAACTGTGTACCTTTCTCACAAACACGGCTGTTCACTAAACTGAGAATTGCAGGCAGTTCAGAGGGAATTCAAAGTGAATATTGAAGGCCAAAGTAGCCAAACTCAAAGCATAGCTGACGAGAAGAATTGTTCCAGTTCAGCTACTTTGGCCTTAAAGGGACACTATAGTCATCAGAACAAATACGGCTTAATGTGCATCACTGCCATTCACTGGCCACTCTTCAGGTGGCTGCTAGAGGTGCTTCCTGGGGCAGTGTCTCCACCCTCTGCATGCAGACACTGAACTTTCCTCATAGATATGCATTGATTCAATTCACCTCTATGAGGAGATGCTGATTGGCCAGGGCTGTGTCTGACTTGTGCTGGCTCTGCCTCTGATCTGCCTCTTTGACAGTCTTAGCCAATCCTATGGGAAAGCATTGTGATTGGCTGAGATCACCACTTCTGATTATATCAGCCAAAGAGGCAGATTAGGGGCAGAGCCAGCACCAGTAGACTGGAATAAAGGTAAGAGGTTACTATATTTATGGGGAACAGGGGGGTAGACATTGTTTGTGTTCATGACCCTATAGTGTTCCTTTAAATATGAAATTAACTTTGAAATCCTTGCAATTCTCATTTTAGTGAATAACCCTGACCATTTTCTCATTGGGAATCTAGTGATGGGCTGAGAGCATATCACTGGCATCCAGTCAGAGGCTTTCTCATTGAAACGTAGGATGTTGCCAGAAGAAAATCTGCCATGCATGATGGGCGCTATCTGCACAACTTTGTGGTTGAACTGTTCGCAATAGTAGCCCTTTAAGGTAAGACAGTGCCCAGGACCTGCGGGTACCATAACAACATCATTCAGATGAAGTGTTATAGTGACATGTGTTCCTTTAAATTGTAGTTGCAAGATCCTTTATAGTAGTGTGTAAGTACAATATGTGCCTTTAATTATATATCATATATATTTATTTATATCATTTTGATCCATATGGATTTTTTAAAATAAATTTATCAGCATTTAGCTGTCACTAAATTTAGAACATGCAGTAAGTAAAATGTATTTTCAGTGGTTGACAGCTCTGGTACAATGTGTCACTGTGTATTTTGGTAGGTTTTACATATTGGTGTTATTGTTATGGTACATCGAGTACTGCTTGTTGTAAGGTAGGAAGCTGGAAAATGTTAATCATATTAAGGCAGCCAACTTTTTAGCTTGCTTCAATAGGCTGTGCCAATACCAGACTGCCTGTTTAATACACACACAAACACTACCAGTCACAAACAATTCACATTGCCAGAGTCATGACACACACAATTACACTGCTAAACATACCACTAGACACACACAAACACTACCAGTCACGATTCACATTGCCAGAGTCATGACACACACAATTTCACTGCTAAACATATTACTGCAAACACAAACACTACCAGTCACAATTCACATTGCCAGAGTCATGACACACACAATTTCACTGCTAAACATATTACTAGACAAACACAAACACTACCAGTCACAATTCACATTGCCAGAGTCATGACACACACAATTTCACTGCTAAACATATTACTAGACAAACACAAACACTACCAGTCACAATTCACATTGCCAGAGTCATGACACACACAATTTCACTGCTAAACATATTACTAGACAAACACAAACACTACCAGTCACAATTCACATTGCCAGAGTCATGACACACACAATTTCACTGCTAAACATATTACTAGACAAACACAAACACTACCAGTCACAATTCACATTGCCAGAGTCATGACACACACAATTACACTATTAAACATGCTACTAGACACAAACGCTGATATCATTTTTGCCATCCTCTTTTTTTTCTGCCTATCTGTGTTTCTGTTTCCCTAAGGTTAATTGAACGTTTTTAAATTATTATGGTGCCTGGAGTTCATGTTTTCATACTATTCAACAGTGATTCAGAGTCACAGGGCACTTACAGTTCAGCCCGCCACAGTCCAGGGCACCCTCAGTCCAGACTCACTGGTGAAGCTGAAACTGCCTTACCCTATATTTGGGATAATGGTAAGTAATTGGCTGAGAGCATCAACTGAGCTCCCTCAAACAATCACTTTGCCATATCCCTGGTATAGTGTAATCACTTTTATACTGTATAAAAACAGTTCAACAGTTGTGCGGAAAATGGCGCCCAGGGAATACAGTCACATACATACTTTAAGGTATTAAAGTGGTTATGGTCCCTGGTCCCTTTCATGCTTTATCAGGATGTGGACACAGGGAAAGTAATGCATTTAATGTGTATGTCAACAACTATATATTAATGGGTTACTCTGAGCACCATGACCACTTCAGTGATTTGAAGTGGACATGGTGCATGTACGTGCAGAGCTTCGCTATTAAATGCTGCACATACAGAGTTTAACCTCTTTGCTGCTGGAGTGGGTAATACTTCCAGCAGCATCACTGGCCATACCATAACAAAGTATTCTATGCTGGCGTGTTGGTGTCACATGTGAATTCTGTACAGAATTGGCATGTAATACCAGCACACACAGCATGCTGACACCAGACAGCCAATGGTGGCATGCCCTCTGTGCTGCCCCTCAGTCTGTCCTTCCTGACATCCCTCCCTCACCTGCGAGGGGGCGTGATGTCAGCAAAGAAAAAAACAGGCTAGGGAGAACTTGGTTTTGGGAAAGGAAACGAGAAGTTTAAACTTTTTATATTTTATTTTTTTGGGAAACGGGTTTAGCAGTTATAAGCATAAGTTATAAAAATTCCACATCCCTGTCAGTATACAAACATCAGCATTACTACTGTACTTATTGTACATCAACCCCCCCCTTCCCCCCGCTGTAATGTAACCCATAACTTGCTAAGTAGGTATAGCTGCCAGGTCATGATTTTATATATAGATGGATTAACCTGTATATTATTTTGGTTTAATATAAAAAAAAGTATAACGTAACAGATATATTGTAATTTGGTTTGGTTAGAATTAAAAAGTGTTAAGACCCACAAAGGCAGGTTTGACCAGAGGATAAAAGAGTTGACCCCCTCCAGACTACCCCACCCCATCACCAAGGTCATAGTCAGCAAATCCTACCCTAAAAATAGCCTGCTCCCAGTGAGAGAGCATTTACACATTGCGGCTCAGACAGACCAGGGCTACGGCACACTCAGGTACATACAGGGCTACTGGTGACTAAGGGTATGGGGTGGGGGAGCATGCTGCATAATTTGGATTTGTGGGACTGGAATGGAGTATTTAATGATTCGTTATCATATACACTACAATATATTATGTCTGCAAAGGAAAATATAGAGACAAGACAAAGATATACACATACACACTATTTTGACGTGTGTGCGTGTATTATTTTTTTCTATTAAATAAGAAAGTAAATCAACTAGGGGGTATGGAAAAATACGATGTTTCTTCCACTTTGCATCCAGTTTAATCTATAGCATTTAAATTCCAGAAGCCGGCCATGAACATGCATGCATATTAGTCTGTCATTGAGCAATGTATGGTGTTATAACATAATATATAGCAATGTGTATCGACATTTCTGCTGAGGACAGTCAAAGAACCACGTGGCAATCAAACAGGGTGATGTATAACTCGCAGAACCATGGGTGTAAAAATCAGGAGAAATCTAGTGCAATAGGGGGAAATCCACCAGGCATGATGGGAGAACAAAATCATGTGTTTTACGGTTTTAAGAAAGATGAGAAAAACTAAACGTTTTAAAAGAGTTGGTTATCTTCTACACATTGTGTTTAAAATCATTTGATTTCAACAAGGGGAAGACCTTTTATTGAATAATTTTATTATGGCTTGTGTGAGAAACTGTGTGTTTGTGTGTATATATATATCATCTTTATGTAAACATAAACAGCTCTTAACAGACAAATATTTGTTGTGATTGGCAGCTTCCCACTGATTTTCTTTGTTTCCATTCCAATTTGTATAACTCTCATTACTCTGAGTCAGACTCAGAACTTCCGTGCAAAGCCTTGCTCTACTAGAAGTGAATAAGGATACTTGCTGGCAGATACTAAAGACATGCCATCATTGTTAATAATGCCAAATATGGTTATCTTTTTGACTATGAAATGAGTGTAGTTTTAAAGCTGATTCAATAATATATTAGCCACTGAGAATACAGCTCAGTGTTCTGTGTCTGAATGCCTGAAAGGATCTCAAATTTTGATGCATCATTTAAAAAAGCATTGGCTGAACTATTTGCACTTCAGACTTGTAAGAAGAGCTGATTAATTTAATGTTGTATGTGGCACACTATAAGAAGCAGCTGCAAATTCAAATTAACCAAAGCAACTGGCGGCGTGGAAAAATATACAAACAAATTGACTTCAAAGAGCAAAATACTGAGCATGGAGTGGATGCCTACTATAGTAGAATAGAATAGAAGATGTTTGCCCATGAAATCTAGAAGATAACAATCCAGCCAATCACGGCTAGCGGCAGTTTTCTAGCTCCAGAATTGCTATTTAATGGTTCGGATTAATTTAATTCCAGTAATTAAATGCTTATTGGAGCTGAAAAAAATATTGGTTTCCATAACTAATCTAATTGAAAATATAGGCTTTGGCGATTCAATTTCCTTCGATTCAATCTTTTTTTGTGTGACCATTTTCCCACTGACAGCACTAGCAGCCAGCAGGCAAATAGGTTAAAAAACAACCTATGGGGTCAACATGATTTAAAACCCCCGCCTCACCATATTTTATTTCTAACATTCTCCCATCTCGTTCATCCAGTTACTGATTGACTGATATTGCTCATTTCTGTGCTTAGCCCTGTCAGCATGAGCCGGGCCTGTGATAGACGGGACATTATATCCCAGGCTATTCACTAACAGGCTGATCTTACATTGACAGTGCAGTATGCAGGAACATGCAGTGACAGCTGGCAGTTATATGGGACTGTCCCTTCTCCATTACCACACAAACCAGTAGGAGAGGGAGATGTATCATAGATGCCCTCCTGGTTTACTGCAAAGACTCTTTTACTATGGTTGCTGGTACAGGAGAATGAAAAATATATATGGGGGAAAAAAAAGCTTTAAAAAAAAAAAATCCCTCAGTCCAGCCAGGACCGTTTGAAGATATGGAAATAGGTATTATGCCATAACTACTGTATGAGTCCGTTAGTATAAATAATAATTTTTTTTACTATAAGTAGATATTAAAAGTAGGAATTAAATTTTTTTTCATAAATGAAGACGTTCCTTTATAAGTGAAAATCAATAACACTTTTGCACAGTTATGAGTCACTTCTTTACATGTTCATCATAAATCGTAACTGCAGACATTTGCAAAAATTTGGTGGAGTTATAAACCCCTCCACCACTCGATGACATCATTAAATGTACATGGAATACAATTCTTAGCTTCCATACCTCTCAACATGAGATATGTAAATTGGGACTCCTCAGTTGGCTTAAAGGAGTGCGATCTGCGGCACTGGCACCGCTTAGCCACCCAAAGAAGAGGCATGTCAGCGTGACAGCCACACACACTGGTCAGCTCCATTAAGGGCTGATCCCAGTGTTCTTAGCATAGTGCAAGTACATCTATTGGTACTACACTTTCTGGGAAAACAGTTCTCTAGTGTCCACAAAAGTGCAACACCAGGAAACAAGTCCAGGATGTCAGGACAGGAACCTGAAATCAGTACTGTGTCACTAGATTCAGGACATTTTTGGATGTTGAGCTTCCAATTGATTGCAAAATACTTTTGTTTATTTTCATAAATTGTACGTGTGAGTGCTAAACATATCCTACAATAAGTACTCTGAACAAATCTCTGCAATCTCCTGTTCCATGGTGAAACTGCAGATTTACAGAAAAGTAGGGAAATTCAGAGACGGGCAAAATGTTCCTGTTAAATTGCCTGCTTTTAAACTTTACATCCATAATGTATTAAAATAGAAGGATATGGGGGATAAACACAAGCCGGGAGTGTCACTTTCAAGAGGGCACACTGTTGAACCAGGGGTCATGACACTGCTGAGCAAGTACTATTGAGTTACAAAGTTTTGTCTGGAGTTGTTGAGATTCTTGAGATCTTGATCATTGTCAAGCTCGTGGGTAAAAGGGGACAGGTGAGACTGCACTACACCAACAGAGTGCTATTCATTCCTTAACTGGGAGAGCTCAGCTGCTCACTGAAAACCTATGCAGGCAAATCATATCAAAACATCTTGTTTTGTACATTGTACTATTGTACATTTTATTTGTAGCCTGTGCTAACCCAACAGCAACCCAATGTATTGAGTTTTTGGGTTATTTAGACCAGCCAACGCTATGTGCCCACTCCACATTTACCTTTACCACCTTCACATACATATATAAGTAGCTATACACACTTGTCACAGAATCACACAGACAGTCACGTACATAGACATACATCTACACACATGGGCGTAGGAACCAGGTGGGATGGGGGGGACGCATCCCCCCCAGCAAATCATGCGGGGGGGACAGGTTATGGAGAAATCCCCCCCAGCTCCGCCGGCCCCCCTCATGCTGCAGCCGCCCGAGCGCTCTGCAGAGAGCCTCAGGCGGCTGCAGCTTTGCCCGGGCTGGTGCGTCCAGGAGGGCGCACCGCCCGAGCGCAGCATGAGGAGAGGGGCTGACAGGAGGGAAGTGCTCAGCGCTCCCTCCTGTCACTCCCTCACTGTAGCGTGGCCGAGCCCTGTATGGTCCGCGGGTACAGGGAGCATCTGTCTCCTGTACCTGGCCGGACTAACAGGAAGTGCACACTGAGTCAGTGTGCACTTCCTTTTAGTCCGGCCGGGTACAGGAAACAAAAGCTCCCTGTACCCACGGACCATACAGGGCTCAGCCACACTACAACAGAGGTAGGGGAGGGTGGGGTAAAAAAAAATTGACGGTGGGGGGGAGGAAGAAATTGACAGGGGGAGGGAGGGGGAGGAAAAAATGGAAGGGGGTGAGGAAGAAATTGAAGGGGGGAGGAAGAAATTGAAGGTGGGGAGGAAGAAATTGAAGGGGGGGAGGAAGAAATTGACAGGGGGTGGGAAGAGAAGAGAGTGACAAGGGAGGAAGAGGGGGGAGAAGAGAGTGACAAGAGAGGGGGGAGAGATTGACATCCATCACACACACACAATGCACCCCTTACACACAAAGACAATGCACCCCTTGCACACAGAAAAACACACAATGCATTACACACACAATGAATTAGACACACACACAAGCAATGCAACCCTTACACACAATGCATCCCTTACATACACAGAAACACACCTTGCAGCCCTTACACATACAAACACAGATTCACACAATGCATTCCTTACACACATATCAGGACATCTCCTACACACTCCACCCCCTGTGAACAATTGGTGGAACATGAAGGTGGACCCTGGGACCCAGACCTTGAGCTGTGTAAAGGTCCCCCAAAAAATGGAGCTGCTTCCCGTTCTCCCAGAACATTGATTTTTGTGACCACAGTTACAAACAGCCCCCAGAGAGCCTGTTCTAAACCAGACCAGTGGAGCCAGACTGCAGCTAGAGCCCATCATCATCCTCATCTGGTTGTAAGTAGGCAATCTAGCATATTATTCGTGGCACTAATCTCTAATTTACCTCACATTAAAGAAACACTATAGTCCCCAGAACCACTGCAGCTTAATGTAGTGGTTCTGGTGTCTATAGCCTGTCCCTGCAGGCCTTTTAATGTAAACACGGCGGCACTCCAGCACTGGCGTTAGGTAACATGGCAGATCATATGGGTGGGGCATTGTAATGTCACATGGGGGGGCGGCAAACTTTAATTTTGCCTAGGTCGGCAAAAATCCTTGCACCGGCCCTGGCCGAGTGTCACGTGACTACCCGGCGCTCAGTCTGACACTGCGCCTGCCGGACGTCCAGAGGTCCCCCTGCTATGTCAGGTAAAAGGGGGGACAAAGGTAGAAAAATAATTGGAAGGGTTTAGGGGGGCTACTAATATGGATGGGGGGAGGGGTAGGTAGAAAAATAATTGGAAAGGGTTAGGGGGGCTACTAATAAGGATAGGGGGAGAGGGGTAGGTAGAAAAATAATTGGAAGGGTTTAGGGGGGCTACTAATATGGATGGGAGGAGGGGGGAGGTAGAAAAATTATTGGAAGGGGTTAGGGGAGTACTAATATGAATGGAAGGGGTAGGCTGGGTTCTAATATGCATGGAAGGGGTTAGGGGGTACTAATATGCATGGAAGGGGTAGGGGGTTAATATGCATGGAAGGGGTAGGTGGGGTTCTTTTGTGCATGGAAGGGGTAGGGGTGGTTCTAATATTCATGGGAGGGGTAGGTGTGGTTCTAATATTCATGGAAGGGGTAGATGCGGTTCTAATATAAATGGAAGGGGTAGAGTCGGGTAGTAAAATGTATGGAATGCATTTCTCACAGTGTCACTGAATGACAGTTAGGAAATGTGGTCACCCTAAATCAGGGGCAGTATTACACAATCTGTATATGTATAAAAAAATATAAAAAGTAATCTGCAAAGTACAAAATGTTTGTGTCATATGTCGTGCTAAAAATTAAGCTAGGAATATGCATATTTTTTTATTTTTTTTAAAATAATTTTTAGAATAATGATACAGACATTTTATTTCTTACATTTGTGATGATTCTTTTTTCCTCTCTATATTCAAGGGACACTATAGTCACCAGAACCACAACAGCTAAACATAGTAGTTCTGGTGTCTATAGCATGTCTTTGCAGGCTTTTTAATGTAAGCACTGCCATTTCATAAAAAGGCAGTATTTACATTACTGCTGAGGAATACCTCTAGTGGACACTCAGATGGCCACGAGAGGTGCTTCCTAGTCGAGACATGAATGCCGCCCTATGAAGTATCTGCGCATGTGCGGCAAAGATGCGCATGCGCACCAGAGAGCAATGACGCTTCTGAATAGAAGCGTTTTATTGCTCCCTGCTCGCACCCTCCTATTTTGTCATTTTGACGAAATAGGGGGCGCGGCATCAGGAGGATCCCAGCGCTGTATCCGGGTAAGTAAAATCCCTTCCCTGTAGTGACCCTTTAATGTTATTATTTAATAATTTATATAGCAACTGCAAATTCCGTAGCGCTGTACAATGGGATAAGCAACTACGGAATAAGAATATACCCGGCGAGTAAAAATGCTATCCCCCCCAGATTTTTTTGGGTTCCTACGCCCATGTCTACACACAGAGTCATATACAAACATTGCCATACAATCCATGCTCTATTGCCTCCTTCCTGCTCTCCCCTCCACAGCCAGCATAGTAACAGGGGTACCATAGGTCACTCAGCACCCACTGATTTCTAATAAGATGCCACACATTACAGTGGAATCAAATTTAATTAAATTGTCTGCTTGATGATGCTTATTACCATACATCTGGTGCAGAGGTGCCATGGTCCCAAAACTACAATCATAGCAGTCATATAAATTGCAGATACAACTGCTTAACCTCTGTGAGATGCATTGTACATCATTTGAGGGATGGCAGTTATATTTATTGGGTTACTCTAATTCTTTAGGGGCCCATCGGGTGGCTCATGCTGTTTAGGCTACCCGGTGGCTATGGATTTCCAGGGGGCCCGGTCAGCGTTGCAGCGCTGTAAGAGCGACCGGGCCCCCTGAGATGACATCAGACGCTGGGAGGAAGTGCCTCCCCCGGTCACTCCTCCCAGCTATCAGACAGAGCCGTGCGGAAGGAAGAGAGGAGGGAGTCAGAGTGGGAACGCTGACTCCCATCAGTCTGACCCACCACTGGACCCAAGGGAAGTCACCCTCCTGCATCTAAAAGGTAGGAAACAGGAGGGTGACTAAAATATTTTGAATATGTGTGTGTTTGTTTGTATGTATGTTTGTGTGTCTGTATGAATGTTTCTCTGTCTGTGTCTGTGTGTGTCTGTGCATTTGTGTGTGTGTGTGTGTGTTTGTGTATGTCTGTGTGTGTATGTATGTGTCTGTATATATGTGTCTCTGTATGTGTGTGTGTGTACAGTGGTGTACATACAGGGTCGCAGCTGAGACCTTGCCCGTCACTCCAGGGGGCCCGGCCGCCCTGAGGACTCCTGCGACCGGGTGCCCACAGCCATGTGTTGCGGCACAGCCCGCGCGGTGTAACCACCGGGGTGGGGCCCACGGATCAGTTTTGCCCCGGGGCATCATGGATCGTGTGTACACCACTGCCTACCAGCATGACCACTTCTACAAGCAGAAGTGGTCATGGTGCTTGGAGTAATCCTTTAAACATTTGCATCCATTTTCAGAATCCATTTGTAGAAGGCAAACAATGATATTTGATAATCATATCTTTATATGTACATATGTAATTTATATATGTACCAGAAGCTAAAAACATTGTCCACATTTTGTGACATAGTATTTTTTTTAAAAAAACATACCAAGTGCCATAGCCATTATATCTTATTGTAGCAATTATCATTTAAAATAGCTATGCTTTTAGACCCTCCAAGTTTCAAGCAGATTGAATTTAAAAAAAAAACCTGTTATATTTACGGGGCTTGGTGGGTCTCTTTAAGTGAAACAAACCATATAGTTAAAGGAACACTACAGGGTCAGGAACACAAACATGTATTCCTGACCCTATAATGTTAAAAACACCATCCACCACCCCTAGGTATAGTAAAATCATACTTTTATTCCAGTCTGCTGCTGCTGGTTTTGCCCCTGATCTGTCTGCTTGGCTGACATAATCAGAAGTGGTGATCGGATCCATTCACAATGCTTTTCCATAGGATTGGCTGAGACTGTCAATGAGGCAGATCAGGGGTAGAGCCAAACACAGCCTTGGTCAATCAGCATCTCCTTGAATCAATGCATCTCTTTGAGGAAAGTTCAGTGTCTCCATGTAGAGGAGACACTGAATGTCAGTCACACCGTGCAGCACTGCCCCAGGAAGCACATCTAGTAGCCATCTGAGGAGTGGCCAGTGGAGGTATCCCTAGGCTGTAATGCATTTTCTCTGAAAAGACAGTGTATACTGCAGAAAGCCTAAAGGGAATCATTATACTCACCAGAACAAATACAATAAGCTGTAGTTGCAAGTTGCGAAGTGGGGCTCCATGGATCAGATTTGTTGTTCCAAGATGCTCAATCACAGTAAGATCAGGAGAGTTTAGAGGCCAAGGCAACACCGTAACTACTTTGTCATGTTCCTCATACCATTCCTGATCATTTTTTGCAGTGTGGTAAGGTACATTAACCTGAAAGAGGTCACTGCAATCAGGGAACACAATTGCCATGAATGGGTGCACATGGTCTGCAACAATCTCTAGTAAGGTGGTGTCAAAGTAACTTATACACGAATGCAAGTTTTCCCAGCATAACATTGCCTCCACTGGCCTACCTTCTTCCCATAGTGCATCCTGCTGCTATCTCTCAACAAGTAAACAATCTTTTCACTTGCCTATTTTCCCGCTTCCAACACGTGAAATTCAAGTTTTGACTTTTCACTTGCTGCCTCATATATCCCACCCCTTGACAGGTGCCATTGTAACGATATAATCACTAGTCAGTGGTTTTAAGGTTGTAGCTGATCAGTGTAGATGCGTGTGAAACTGCGGGAAATGAATTAGATATCTATATTAACTATAACCTTGAACTAGAAAATAATATTTTGTCTATACGTTTGCCAAAAATATGGGTTGTAAGAAACAAATATTATTTTATTAATACCTGTCAGGAATGTAAGCTCATTGAGGGCCCTCCACCTCTCTGTTCCTGTACGTCCAATTGTCTGGTTACAATTGAAGATTATGCTAGCGCAGTGTACTAATAATCTTAATTTTAATAATGACAGGCGAATATTTTGTTTCTTTACTAACTCCATAGCAGCAAAGAAAAAAACAGTTGAAATAAAGAACCAATCAGAGCGAGTCAGAGTATACAGGTAGTGCAGAATTATTAGGCAAATGAGTATTTTGACCACATCATCCTCTTTATGCATGTTGTCTTACTCCAAGCTGTATAGCCTCGAAAGCCTACTACCAATTAAGCATATTAGGTGATGTGCATCTCTGTAATGATAAGGGGTGTGGTCTAATGACATCAACACCCTATATCAGGTGTGCATAATTATTAGGCAACTTCCTTTCCTTTGGCAAAATGGGTCAAAAGAAGGACTTGACAGGCTCAGAAAAGTCAAAAATAGTGAGATATCTTGCAGAGGGATGCAGCACTCTTAAAATTGCAAAGCTTCTGAAGCGTGATCATCGAACAATCAAGCGTTTCATTCAAAATAGTCAACAGGGTCGCAAGAAGCGTGTGGAAAAACCAAGGCGCAAAATAACTGCCCATGAACTGAGAAAAGTCAAGCATGCAGCTGCCACGATGCCACTTGCCACCAGTTTGGCCATATTTCAGAGCTGCAACATCACTGGAGTGCCCAAAAGCACAAGGTGTGCAATACTCAGAGACATGGCCAAGGTAAGAAAGGCTGAAAGACGACCACCACTGAACAAGACACACAAGCTGAAGCGTCAAGACTGGGCCAAGAAATATCTCAAGACTGATTTTTCTAGGGTTTTATGGACTGATGAAATGAGAGTGAGTCTTGATGGGCCAGATGGATGGGCCCGTGGCTGGATTGGTAAAGGGCAGAGAGCTCCAGTCCGACTCAGACGCCAGCAAGGTGGAGGTGGAGTACTGGTTTGGGCTGGTATCATCAAAGATGAGCTTGTGGGGCCTTTTCGGGTTGAGGATGGAGTCAAGCTCAACTCCCAGTCCTACTGCCAGTTCCTGGAAGACACCTTCTTCAAGCAGTGGTACAGGAAGAAGTCTGCATCATTCAAGAAAAACATGATTTTCATGCAGGACAATGCTCCATCACACGCGTCCAAGTACTCCACAGCGTGGCTGGCAAGAAAGGGTATAAAAGAAGAAAATCTAATGACATGGCCTCCTTGTTCACCTGATCTGAACCCCATTGAGAACCTGTGGTCCATCATCAAATGTGAGATTTACAAGGAGGGAAAACAGTACACCTCTCTGAACAGTGTCTGGGAGGCTGTGGTTGCTGCTGCACGCAATGTTGATGGTGAACAGATCAAAACACTGACAGAATCCATGGATGGCAGGCTTTTGAGTGTCCTTGCAAAGAAAGGTGGCTATATTGGTCACTGATTTGTTTTTGTTTTGTTTTTGAATGTCAGAAATGTATATTTGTGAATGTTGAGATGTTATATTAGTTTCACTGGTAATAATAAATAATTGAAATGGGTATATATTTGTTTTTTGTTAAGTTGCCTAATAATTATGCACAGTAATAGTCACCTGCACACACAGATATCCCCCTAACATAGCTATAACTAAAAACAAACTAAAAACTACTTCCAAAAATATTCAGCTTTGATATTAATGAGTTTTTTGGGTTCATTGAGAACATGGTTGTTGTTCAATAATAAAATTAATCCTCAAAAATACAACTTGCCTAATAATTCTGCACTCCCTGTATATAAGTCCAAGCATGACCAATCATTTCCTCTTGACTAATGCGACATCACAAGTCAATAATGGAATAAATAACATGTACGATCCAGCTTGATCCAACTTGAAACCGATAATGGAATTGAGTCATCCTAGTAATCCATAAGACTTGTTAAACTGAAAGAAAAGAGAGACTAGTATCGGTGATACGGAATCAACCGTATGAAAACATAAGTCTATGAGTATATATATATATATATATATATATATATATATATATAAATCTTTATATTGACTAATCTGACTAACCATAAATGTTATCATATAGAGTTAATCCACAATGATATAAAAATCCAAACCATAGTTCATATTAGTATAAATGTTTAATCTTTAGAATTAGACTAATAGCCATTAATTCTAATTTACCTCAGATTAGGGTGGGAACGTCAAGTCGAAAAGGGAGGGAAAATATTCACCTCCTGCCGTTATTAAAATTAAGATTATTAGTACACTGCGCTAGCATAATCTTCAATTTTACAACATGACAGGAGGCTTCATATTTTGCAATTTTAACGCTTAGGTAGAAGAGCGAACACTGTGTTGGACAACGAACGGAAATAGAATGTCTGGAATGTCGGTTCGCGGGACCAGTCCGCCGCTATTAATATGTCTGCCAGGGATGCACATACCAGAAAAACTGATGATGTCATTGCCCCTCGCACGTAATGCGCGTCAAAAGACGGGCCTAAAGCTGGTAGGGAGAGGAGCCATTGATCCATCTGGCCAGTGTGGTGACCGAAACCAGACAGTGAGGGTTAACATTGAACACTCATAGCTGTCGGTCTGTCGGTGGGTGTAACGTCTCTGCTGCCACCACATATGCCCGCCAAACCTTGACCACACACAGTTGGGGGTCCCAGGTGAAGAACGGATAGGAGATCGATGATGACTTACCTTCTTTGAAGGTTGACAAGAGGAAGTTCATGATCTTGGAAACAGGGGCAGTAGAGGGATCCAGGTCCCGTCCCATGCCCCAACTGGTCCAAAATCGCCTTGCAGATAAGTAGCTCTTTCGCGTTCCAAGGGTCCAGGAGTCCCATAGAAGATTCTTAGTCGTTGTCGATAAAACGTTGGTACCCCATGTTCCCCTGAAAGAGTACAGATTACCAAGAATAGGCGTCTGTCCAGTAGCATAGGGTGTGGGTTTCCCACTGGGTCCCTCAGTAGGGTGGAGTCGTTCGGCAGCAGAATTGGGTCCTCGTAGGACATCTCGATGAGTTCTGGGAACCAGGGGTGGTTCAACCAGAGGGGCGTCCGGAGGGTTACTTATTACTCATCTCCGGACGTGGTGGAGAACTCTCGCAATCATAACAAATGGTGGAAAGGCATTCCCGTGGATGCCTCCCCACCCGTGGCGCCCCAACCCAGTCTGCTTGCGTCTGATTCCGGTATGTAGTTCGGGTGGTTGCCGGAAATGGACCGACCGTACCATGCTTGCATGCAGTTGTGCTACCATCCAAGTTCTTGGCGCACATCGTTCGTCATCGGAACTGGTTGGTTATACGTGGTGCTCCATTGAATGAAGCGTGCTCTCAACCGTTGCATGGCACGAAAAAGCAGGGGCCTGGAAATATGGATTGTCTTGGTGAGGAGGGTAGGCCAACGATCCAGATCAGTTGTCGGAGCGGAATGGAGTCGAGCTTGAGTACTCTGCGGATCTCTTTCCTGATGGCCGTCACTGTGGTCGACTGGAGTATGCGAGACCTGGAGTTTATCTCCAAGCCCAGGAATTTAATTTCTTGCATGGGGTCATTCCTGGTCTGGCTCTGTTGACGATGAAACCCGGGGACTCCACAATTGTACCGTATAGTCGCTATGTTGTACGGACAGTTCTCTCGTTCTGCAGACTAAGAGTATGTCGTCCGGGTAAGTGATACATCTGATCCCCCCGCGTTCTGAGGTGTGTTACCCATGGTCTCAACATTTTGGTGAAGTACCCTGGTGCGGAGTTTAGTCCGAGAGGGAGGCAAGTGAATTGCCATAAGAAGCCGTGCCGCAGTAACTGAAGGAAGGGGCGGCTGACTTCGTGAATTGGGATCGACCGGTATGTGTCCTTGAAATCTAGACGCGTAAACCAGTCCCCTTCTTGAAGGAGGTCCCTTACATAGGCGTGCGCACGGGGTGTGCCGGGTGTGCCTGGGCACACCCTAATCCCCCGGCACGCCTATGCATATTGAGACCGGCAGGGGAGATCTCAGGATCTCCCCTGTCGGCTCAGGCAGAGCCGGCGCTATCCGAGCACCGGCTCTGCTCTCAGCCTCCCTCCCCACTGACCCACATGCAGGGAGGGAGGCAGGAGAGGACCCGGCGGAGCTATTGCCGGCAGCTCCGCCGGGTTCCTCTCGCGAGATATGAGCGTTGCCACGGCAACGCTCAAATCTCACGAGAGTGAACTCTAGCCCCACAGGGGCTAGAGTTCACTCTCCACTGGACCACCAGGGAAAGCAGCAGCACTATCCCCCCTCCCTACAAAAGGTAAGAAGGGAGGGGGGATAGCAAGTAATGTACCTCCACCTCCACCCCCACAATCACCCACCCACATACAGCACACACACATACACAGCACACACACAGCACCCACAGACATACACAGCACCAACACACATACAGCACCCACACACACATACAGCACCCTCACAAACACACACAACACCCTCACACACACACACAGCACACTAACAGTACCCTCACAAACAGGACCCTAACAAACACACACACAGCACACTACCAGTACCCTCACACACAAACAGCACCCTCACACACAGTACATTAACAGCATCCTCACAAGCACGCACACACAAACACCCTCACCCACATAGCACACTACCAGCACCGTCACACACACATCACTCTCAGGCCTCACTTCACAATCAACTCAGTGAAGACTGCATTTACCATCCTGCAGAAACACCCATCACTCTCAGGCCTCACTTCACAATCAACTCAGTGAAGACTGCATTTACCATCCTGCAGAAACACCCATCACTCTCAGGCCTCACTTCACAATCAACTCAGTGAAGACTGCATTTTTCCACCCCACTTCTCACCCACCCAGGCTCCCCTTAAATATATAGCATGCTCCTCCAGCTGTTCGAGATTCTCACACAATTACCTGTTCATTCCCCTAACATCTTACCAATAGCTGCTTCTCTGTTAACTCTTTCAGCCATCACCTCCAAACTTCCCCTGCTACCTTTTGTCTCAAATCCCCCTGGTATCCTTTAGATTGTAAGCTCAAGGGCCATCTAGCTAAGCACTTTGTATAAAAGAGCTCCAATGGCTAGATATCAGCTTACGGGCAGGGCTCTCTTACCTCTTGTATTTGTTTGTGGATATTGTACTGTTCTCAACTAATTGTACAGCGCTGCGGAATCTGTGTGCGCTTTATAAATTGCAATAATAATAATAATAATAGCACCCTCACACAGCACACACACACACACACACACACACAGCAGTGTGTGTATGTGTGTATATATGTATATATATATTTATATATATATATATACACATATATATATACATAAATACATATATATATGCGGCGTGTGCTTGTGCTTTAGGGTGCACACCCTAATGCAATAGGCTGCGCACGCCTATGGTCCCTTAGTAACGCTTAGTAAGTGTATGTCTACCAATTTGAAGTGGCGGTAGGTCACCTGGGCGTTCCGGTCTCTTAAATTTATCACCGATCTGAAATCCCAGTTTTCTTGCGGGCGAGGAACATGATGCTGAAGAAGCCCCCTTTTTGCACATGGGTTGTATAGCGCCCTTCATGCGTAGTTCGTGGAGCTCCACTTCTATGAAGGAACACTATAGTCACCTAAATTAGTTTAGCTAAATAAAGCAGTTTTAGTGTATAGTTCATTCCCCTGCAATTTCACTGCTCAATTCACTGCCATTTAGGAGTTAAATCACTTTGTTTCTGTTTATGCAGCCCTAGCCACACCTGCCCTGGCTATGATTGACAGAGCCTGCATGAAAAAAGAAAAACTGGTTTCACTTTCAAACAGATGTAATTTACCTTAAATAATTGTATCTCAATCTCTAAATTGAACTTTAATCACATACAGGAGGGTCTTGCAGGGTCTAGCAAGCTATTAACATAGCAGGGGATAAGAAAATCTTAATTATACAGAACTTGCAATAAAGAAAGCCTAAATAGGGCTCTCTTTACAGGAAGTGTTTATGGAAGGCTGTGCAAGTCACATGCAGGGAGGTGTGACTAGGGTTCATAAACAAAGGGATTTAACTCCTAAATGGCAGAGGATTCAGCACGTCTATCATGAAAGGACTTCTCTTTCCCCCTATTGATACATTGGCCATAGGCTCTGCTCGGCCAAGTGGGATGGAGCCCGGTTGGTATCAATAGTCTTCCATGACAGTGTCAGCCAGACCTACAAAATCTCTATCTTCCCTATCCCTTAATCTCTGGGTAGGGGGATAATATCTACCTCCCTGAACACCCCCTCTGCTATATCCATTATTCCCTCCAAAACTTCCTCTACCTCGTCCTCTTTAGCTGCTACCATAACCACCCTCTTCTCTCTTCTTGTCTCCCACCTGCAATATATCCCCTCTGTGGACAGTCACTCTTCCAATGCCCTTCCTCTCTACCTAGTGGTACCCTGCTCATCCTATTCTCAACTCCTCTATTCATCTCCCCTCCTTCTCTAGCTACGCCTGAAATAGCTACCACTAACATGTCTATTTTCTTCTTTATCTTACGTTCCTCCTCACGCTTTGTCTCAGTTTCCCTATTCATACACACCTTATTTGCAACTTCCATTAGCTGTGATATGGATATCCCTGCAAATCCCTTTAATTTTTGTAGCTTTCTCTTAATATCGCTCTGGGCCTGGCTGACAAATGCTGAGTCTATCATTCGGAAGTTTTCAGGGGCTTCAGGATTGAAAGGAGTGTACAATCTATTTTACTCAAGCAGTCTCTCATAAAAAGCACTGGGTGATTCATTAGCTTTTTGTAACACTTCAGCCGTCCTGGACATGTTAATTGCCTTTTTCCCACCTGCCTTCATGCCAGTAATAATGGCTTGTTGATAGGCCTTTAGATGGATCATGTCAGTGCCATTTACGTTCCAAAGGTCAGTAATAATTGTTGACAATCAGCCCAGGTGGGATTGTGGGTCTGCATAATAGAGGTGACCAAGTCAATCATGGCTTGAGGTTTATCGGTGTACGAGGAGTTATGGGTCTTCCAATTGAACAGGTCGGTCGTGGTAAAAGGGACTTAAACAAATACAGGATCTGCCAATTGCAACTGCCCATTACCGTCAATATGTGGTGGGCCAAGTGTAAGCCGGAGAGGCATCTGGAAATGTCGGGGTTGGAGGGTACAAGTCATCTGTCGGGTTAGTATGGGGCTTCGGTAAGGCTGTTTAGTTATAGGTTCCGGTCTGAGAGTAGTAAGATAGGTGGAAGGGGGTGAGCTAATTTTACTAGTCGGCATTTGGCAGATGGAAAAAAATAAAAAAAGTGTTAAACCAAAAACCTACCAGCAGATGTCAGTAGGATAAGTAATTGTATCAAAATAATCTTTATGGGTCTAATAATAAACTTAACTTTTAATATATTTATACATAAAATAAAACCTTATAGCAATAAATATATTAAAATAGGGTAAGCAATCCTACTTCTGTCTGTTGTATGCCAGTATAGAGTTAAAGATGATTAAAGGACCACTATAGTGCCAGGAAAACATACTCGTTTTCCTGGCACTATAGTGCCCTGAGGGTGCCCCCACCCTCAGGGTCCCCCTCCTGCCCGGCTCTGAGGAGAGGAAAGGGGTTAAAACTTACCTTTTTCCAGCGCTGGGCGGAGAGCTCTCCTCCTCCGATCCTCCTTCTCTCCTCCCCGTCGGCTGAATGCGCACGCGCGGCAAGAGCTGCGCGCGCATTCAGCCGGTCACATAGGAAAGCATTCATAATGCTTTCCTATGGACGCTGGCGTGCTCTCACTGTGAAAATCACAGTGAGAAGCACGCAAGCGCCTCTAGTGGCTGTCAATGAGACAGCCACTAGAGGATTAGGGGGAAGGCTTAACCCATTCATAAACATAGCAGTTTCCCTGAAACTGCTATGTTTATGAAAAAATGGGTTAACCCTAGCTGGACCTGGCACCCAGACCACTTCATTAAGCTGAAGTGGTCTGGGTGCCTAGAGTGGTCCTTTAAACAATGTAATATCACCATACAATAAAATTTATTTTCAAATTGAAAAAAATAAATAAACAATGTAATATCAATGTAACTCCCGAAGATAGCCAGTAGGCATGGGCGTCCGCAGGATTTTTCAGCTTGTTCTGCTATTTTGTGTGAGATTTAAAATGAACTGCAATACCGCTCCGGCCAGTAGGTGGCGCTGTGTATGGGGAGAGACAGGGATAGGAAGCTGCATCTTATCCCTGCTTCTCTCTGCTGATTGAAACCGCAGGGGAACAACACATGCAGCCAGAGACAGCCTACAGATCAGGTAAGTGGGGGATGGGGGGGCAGAGACAGCCTACAGATCAGGGGAGTGAGGGATGGGGGGCAGAGACAGCCTACAGATCAGGGGAGTGAGGATGAGGGCAGAGACAGCCTACAGATCAGGGAGTGAGGATGGGGGCAGAGACAGCCTACAGATCAGGGGAGTGAGGATGGGGGCAGGAGCAGCCTACAGATCAGGGGAGTGAGGGATGGGGGGCAGAGACAGCCTACAGATCAGGTGAGTGAGGGATGGGGGTGTAGTAGATAATTTACTGCAAACCAATTAGTTTGAATGACTATCTGTTCCTGTCCAAATTAAAGATAATAAAGTTGCGTGCACGCAGAAGTAAATTCACACTGAGACACAAAGTTCAGGGTAATGAAAGAACTTCAGAGAAGTTTAATGGCTTCTGGCAGAAAATGGGTGCGCAGACCCTTTTAAAGGCATTATTACATCACTGAAGAATTCAAGATAACAGCAAATAGACACTATTGATTGGTCCAGGTGTTAAGTGGTTAGTTAGGTACCCTCCTATCAAGAGGTGATGTCATCCTTGACACGGGAGAGGACACAAGATGTAGGCGCCATCTTGTTAGCACGAGGTGTTCACTCGATGGGAGGGGTGCTTTGGCAGCCATCCATTTAGAGTGTAGCTGGCACGGTTAGGTTTCAAGGCTTTTAGTAAATACACATTTTATCAAAGCTATTTCTTGCTGGCATGCAAATTCTATGTTCTATAGACAAAGCTTTCTTGTAAAACTATGGGGGCCTCTTAGAGGTATAGCAAGAGGATTTAAAGGGGCCTTACAGATTTATAGAGGCTTAATAATTCTACAACAGGGGGGGCAGAGACAGCCTACAGATCAGGGGAGTGAGGGATGGGGGGCAGAGACAGCCTACAGATCAGGGGAGTGAGTGATGGGGGGCAGAGACAGCCTACAGATCAGGGGAGTGAGGATGGGGAGGCAGGGCAGCCTACAGATCAGGGGAGTGAGGATGGGGGGCAGGGCAGCCTACAGATCCAGGTAAGTGAGGATGGGGGGCAGGGCAGCCTACAGATCAGGGAGTGGGAGATGGGGGCAGGGCAGCCTACAGATCAGGGGAGTGAGGATGGGGGCAGGGGCAGCCTACAGATCAGGGGGTGAGGGATGGGGGGCAGGGGCAGCTATAGATTTGGGGGGGGCAGCAGCAGATGGAATTTGGGGACAGCAGCCCATAGATTTGGAGGCAGCAGCCCACATGGGTGGCGGGGCAGCAGCCTTTGGAATTTGGACAGCAGCCCATAGATTTGGGGGCAGCAGCCTATAGATTTGAGGCAGCAGCTGCCTTTGCAGATTTGGGGGCAGCCTATGAATTTGGGGGCAGCAGCCTTTGGGTTGGGGGCAGCAGCCCATAGATTCAGGGGGACAGCAGCCCATAGATTTCAGGGAGGGCAGAAGCCCATAGATTTGGAGGGGGGGCAGCAGCCCATAGATTTGGGGGCAGCAGCCTTTAGATTTGGGGGCAGCAGCCCATAGATTTGAGGGGGGGCAGCAGCCCATAGATTTGGAGAGGGGGGCAGCAGCCCATAGATTTGGGGAGGGGCAGCAGCCTTTAGATTTGGGGGCAGAAGCCCATAGATTTGGGAGGGGGGGCAGCAGCCCATAGATTTGGGGAGGAGGGCAGCAGCCCGTAGATTTATAGAAATGAACAGGAAGGGTCAGCAAGGAGCTAGAAGGTAAAGCAGCACAAAGGTAAAGTAGAAGGAGCAGAAAGGGTCAGAAATGAGCTGGAAGGGGCAGAAGGAGCACAAACATAAAGTAGGAGAATGAGCAGGAAGGGCCTGCAAGGAGAAGGAAGGAGCACAAAGGGACAGCAAGGAGCACAAAGGTAAAGGAGCAGAAAGAATCAGAAGGAGCACAAAGGTAAAGTAGGAGAAAGAGCAGAAAGGGACAGCAAGGAGCACAAAGGTAAAGTAGAAAAGGGAGCAGAAAGGGACCGCAAGGAGCACAAAGGGTCTGCAAGGAGCAGAAAGGGATCAGAATGAGAAAGGAGCAGAAGGGCGCAAAATAAGCAGAAAGTAGCAGAAAGGTAAAATATCAGAAGGGGCCAAGGATAGAAAACAGTGTCAGAAGATAAAAAAAGACTGTCAAATGAAGGAGAGGAAAAGGAGATTGGAGCAGGAAGGACAAATGAAGAGAACCCTCCACTTTATTCTGGACACCACATCATAAGGCTTTGGTATCTGGGCCAGGCAGGGAAACGCTGGACCTTCTCATCTCCAAAGGTAAAAAAATATCGGTGTTAATGTGTTCACTTTTATTTACTGAGTGTCAGGAAGCACAGAGTGCCGTTGGGTAGGGGTGTTGCTGATTGGCTAGAGCGGTCAGCTGGCACTCTAAGCCAATCAGTAGCTCCCCATTCATAAAAAAGTAAAAATATTTTATGAACCGGGAACTAGCGATTGGCTTAGAGCGTCAACTGACCACTCTAGCCAATCAGCGGCACCCATGCCTGACGTCAATCTGCACTTCCTGACACACTGTTTCAGAAGCCAAATACCACTGAGCGACCTGGAGCAGGAGGAAGCCTTTGGGGTTAAACCATTTGAGAGCGATTTAACCCCTTAAAGGAAAGAGAGCGCCCAGGGGCCTCCTGGCATCATAGCATTTTCATTAAGGTGAAGTTGTTATGGTGACCAGAAATGTCCTTTAATTTTCTTAAAGGAACACTATAGTGTCAGGAATACAAACATATATTCCTGACACCATAGTTGTGAAAACGCTATTCACCCTGGCTTTATGTGATAATGGCTATGCCCCTTCCCGTTCATGACACTGTCAAAAAGGTACCAAGCATGGATGTCATTACAATTATGCCCCCCCCTGGAAAAATTTCTGCGGACGCCCATGCCAGTAGGTGGCCCTAGAGTGCCTCCCTAAAGTCTAATGAAGCAGTTAGACTTTAATTATGTGCTTATTTTATTATTACTTATTTTAATCACTGTTCACCCTGATATCTAGGCTTGATTAAAGCTTTAGTTCTAAGGTAAATTAAACATCTTAGTTTGTATTTTAGTAAAGAGGATATTTTGGACAAAGCTGGGAGGGGCCCATCCAGTAACTAAAAAAGGATAAAAGTGTACTGTAGCATCTTATACCATTGATCATTTCTTCCAGTTGTATTTTAGACTGTCACTGAAGGCACACAGTGTTCAGTAATTTTAGTGCTATTTCAATGATTATGGTTATGGTACAAGTCAGTGGTTATGGTATCGTGCGCTATTTTACACTATACACACAATTTACACGTCCGCTAAACAGCAGAGCTCAAGCTTTCTAGCAGGACATACATTTTCACCAATTCCAACGTATTTTACAATCTTTACAACAAACCCAACTATTCTAACTAGCCAGCACTTCGAGGTCTAGGGAACGAAATGTACACCAGGATTCACTAGCCTACGCTGCCTAGGCACCACGATCTAGTGGATGGAATTTACACCAGAATCCACTTAGTCTATATATTCTATCAATGGTCTAGTGGCGGGATTTACAACAGAACACGCTTAGCCAAGATAGTGTGAGAGCTAGCAGACGAAATATACACCAGAATCCGCTTAGTCTCACCGGTATCCCCGATCTAAGGACTGTATTTACAACAAGATTCCACTTAGTCAAGCCAGGATACCGGTGTCTGGCTGAACATATATACACCAGAATCCACCTATATTAGACAGGCTGTCTACAGAGTGTCTAATTTCCAATAAGCGGTGCGCCTTCGCTTCATCCCTTTTTAAAAAAGGGGGCAGTCAGATTACCGGTTCCAGATACAAATTCAACCCCTTGTGGGTTCACGGTCTAACAGTAACAATCTTACCTTTTAGTTCCTGGACCTAGGCTCACACTCATCGATGGGACACCCTGGTACTCACTGCGCAGAAGCCGATGATCTCCTGGACAAAAGGCCAGTGGCGCCGAGACGAAAGGAGGTCCACGCAGTAGAATTCCAGGGGTGCTGCCTTGAAGAACTTTGGTAAAAGTTTACCGTCTCAAATCTCTTGCGCCAGCTTCCGTGCGATGAGGTTCCCAGACCCAATGCACCAGAAATGTTACTGTAATCAATTGCAGAAGCCAAACATAGAGATATGGACACAAGTCTTCAGGAAGTAACAGGTCTTTTATTTACACACTGATCGGGTCTCACTGAACTTGTGTTCAAAAGGTATGAGCCCTGAGCACATGTTTCAGAAGCATTTTATTAAACAATAACTCCACCCACACATGCCCTTAGACCAATCAGTGTATACAACATCCTGGATCTCCTTATATGGGCAGACCACATGGCACTTACAGACAAAGGAATGTACTATCTACTTCCACACATGCTCAGTATACTGATGACTCATCCAACTGTTTGTAATCAGATACTAATTAGCATATGCCATTTGAAGATTTTGGCCTACTAAATTTTGACCATGCTGGAATCCTATTACATTTCAGCAAATTCTGTGTGACTTTGGACTAGAATTTAAGGGAAACTGTGTTCATAATTTTGGAAAATGTTAAAATTTTATCATATAAATGTGTGTTAACCCAAATGTCCCATAAATACATGAGTGGCTATTGCTACACTCAGGGGTGGTAGAAGAGTAAAAATCTTGGGATTTGGCAATTAGCTGATTTACTAAAACCAAATGCAGTCAGAACCTGTACCATTCATTCAGAAATCACGAAATATCTGCAGTTTAAAGCACAGGAATTGGAGATTCATTAATTTGACCGATGATAAACCAAATTCATCCAGCATGTTGCACATTGCAAATTATAATTCACTGGTTTTCAGCAAGTGAGCTGATAATTTGAAGTAGTATTTGCCGGCTGGCAGCACTAGCCAGCGAGAAAAAAACAAACCTTTTTGGTGCAAGAGTTAATTATTTGGCGGTTGACCAACGCTTGCTACCAGCCGCCAAATTAAAAAGTAAGTAAATAAAAATCCTTTGGAGGTCAATAAGATCCCCATTTTACTATGATAGGGGTACCTTTTTTATGAATTGGGAGTGAGTCTCAGGTGACCACAGTGACCCTGCCCAATGTTGCACAAGCCTTCCGTTATCTAGGATTTCAGACAGCAGAAGAAAAGAGGGGGCAGAGCGATCAGGCATAGGAACAAAGATTTTTGGTTAAACCGTTCCCTCAAGGACCTTTTGGCACCATAAAAACTAAATTTCAATTAATTTGTTATGGTGCTCAGAGTGTTTCTCTAAATGATGGTGGAATGAAAACAAAAAGCAAATGTGCCCTCAGTCCCAAACACAGGGAATATCTAAAAAGACTTTCACTATGGGCTTAAATAGGATAAAAAATGTCAATCTTGCATGGTTAAAGGATTGCTAATTTATAGGCAAATGTATTTTTTCATGTGTAGCATTTACCAATTTAAGGAGCACAACCAATTAACAGCTGCTTAGTAAATGTATTCGTTACATATGCGTGTTACTAGATATAGATGCTCACAGCACTCTGTAAATTCCTGATTTAGCTGTTCAGTCAGGTCAAGTGACCAGGGAATCACCGCGCAGGACCTCGGAGTGTAATTTCATTCTTTACAAGTAGAAGTACAAGATTTCTTTCCCCTCCACCAACTTTTTGACCCTCTGTCGTCTAATTACACAGTTCCTTAAAGACTGTGCTTTCAATCGTATACTGACAGATCCAGTAATTTTGTTTCTGCTGAAACTATTATGTAACATCTAACAGCTGAAATAACTGCTTTGGCAACTAGGCACTCTAACACAAAGGCCTGCACACAGACAGGACAAATAAATAAATGCAATAGATTAGATTTCTGACAAACATTGCATCAAACACACTGTATTGGAAGTGTGGACATAGGGGGACACTTTAATTTTGTGGATGTGTATGCAGGGGGTAGGGCTGTTCTGAGACATTTTCTAGGTGACTTTTTAATAACAATGCATGCCACTAAAATGTAGCTTAAAACAAGAAATATGAATCTTTCTTATGTACAAATCTATGTATCTTACATGCCATTTATGGTAGTTTAAGGACACATGACTTATCCCTGTGGAGCTCTGTTACACAGTAAGACAAAAAAACAATATGGCGCTTCTAGAAATAAGAGGGAGAGGGAGAGGGATTTGGGTCCAAAATAGGGACACTTGGCAGCTATGATAATGTTACTTTTGACACGATGAAGCACACATTGACATGTGTACCTTTTTAAAATTATGATGGGTTTTATTACCTCATATTACACTCCTTGTAAAAAAAATAAAAACGGGACCAACAAAACAGGCAAAAGCTGTAGATGGCAGAATGTACCTCTGTAAGACAATTCCTCTATTGATATACCCAGGTATATAGCCACTGTATTAATAAATGAGGCAATTGTCCAACTTATGAACTTTAATAATGCAATTACCACTGTAATTTAACAAATGCACTCACATTACGTGTGGTTTTTTTTTCAGCAGCACAGACATTGATTTCTTTTGATAGGCATTTGATATACCTAACACAGCATTAAAGGGACACTATAGTCATCAGAACAACTACAGCTTATTGTATTTGTTCTGGTGATTCAATGCATCTTTATGAGGAAGTGTTGATTGGCCAAAATGGAATTTGGCCCCGCCTCCATGCAGTGGCGGATCCAAAGCCTGATCTCGGGAGGGGCACTTGTAGATTATTTAAGTAAATAATCCATGCACAATAATGTGTATGTGTGAGGGCAGTGTGTGTGTGGGGGGCAATGTGTGTAGGGGGGCAGTGTGTGAATGTGTGGTGAGTAGGGTAGGGGGGCTTTGTTATAATTTTTTTTAAATAAAAATAAAAACATTTATATCCCCCCTCCCTTCTTACCTTTACTGAGGGAGGAGGGGGGACTTTTCTCGATCCCTGGTGGTCGCAGTGGTGAGAGTGAACTCTAGCCCATAGCTCCAGGGCTAGAGTTCACTCTCGCAAGATCTGGAGTATTGTCGTGGTAGGACCTGGAGGAGCTGCAGGCTGAGCTCCCGGGTCCTCTCTCGCTCCCTACCCTGCCGGCTGCCAGCACAGTGCCTGCGGACTGGGGAGGGAGGTCTCCGAACTGCCCCGTTGCCCCACCCCTGGATCCGCCAGTGCCCCCATGCCACCTCCTTCCCTATGGGAAAGCATTGGATTGGCTAAAAATTTTAATTTCTGATGTCATCAAGGAGGCGGATTGGGGGCAACACGTGCGGCGCTGGAATTAAGGTAAGTTTTAACCCCTTCTAAGGGGGGCTAAGAGAGGGTAAGCCACCTAAATGGTGGTTTTAAAACTCTAGGGTCATGAATACAGGTTTGTGTTTCTGACCCTATAATGTTTCTTTAAGTATGAATTAAATGTGAAAAAAAAAATTGGGGAAAGAAAAATTACAGTTTTTCTTAGAATAGTTTTTACACATCAAGAACAAGTAAAGGAAAATAAACTCAAAATAAATTAATCAGTCCTCATAAATACCTCATATATCTATGATTTAATTTAATCAGTCCTCATAAATACCTCATATATCTAGGATTTCAATTAATTTGGGGTAGTTATAGGACAAATCTTACAAGGCTAAATCTTTTCAAAATGTGGTATTCTGAGACAATAGCAGTCTAAAACGCTAAAGAAAAGTATAAATTAAAAAAAGTAGACACCGCAGGCTATTTAAAGCATATTTTAATTTTGAAAGAGCATAAGATTTCATCTATACATTGTGCTAATAGTTTTGCTAGCAAATGTATAGTTTGGAAGCAAAACCTATTTAAAAATAGTTTTTTCTTACAGCTCTCAGTCAATACCTTGGCAGACAGTGAATACTGAGGCATTGACTGACAAGGGAAAGCAGGAAAGGCCTACCACAGGAGGTGCTTCTACTCTCCCAAGCATAGCAACCGCAGTGCTGTGGTTGCTATGGAAACGCCCTAGTCGGCGCTTGTAGCCATCACTTTGTTTCAATGCCATTGTCACTGTCTATAATGACTCCACATTTGTATTCTGACAAAATCAAAACTTTGCCTTGCGAGGGTTCCACACAGAATGAAGCTTCAAAGCAGGAAAAGCTTTTATAAAGGTTTCTAATGCTTTGAATTCTCATTCAAGCGCTCTGATTGATTTGCCAACCAAAGCGCTTTAACAGGCTTGACTTACTTCTCTCGAGCTGTGCCGCTGACCATGGATGGGGGTGGGTACATTTTTTTTGTCATAGCCCCCACCCACTGGCAATGGATTGGGAAAGAACGGTGGATAGTGATTTCTCCACTCCCCATTTTTAATTTAAAGTCTCCCATCAAATACCAATGGATGGGGGACTATATCTAGGACTACGCTAGTTTTAAACATCGAGTAAATATGCCCCCAATTGCTCCTTGGCAGTAGTTCGATCTGGATGAAGTCCCAGTTCAGGCTCATTTTGGCGCCTGAATTGCATAATCCAGACATTGTTGTTAAATACTCTGTACACAGCCGGGTGGTTTGGCCACGTTTGTTATGGAGCCATTCAGACTTTAGGGAATAATCCGGTCAGTCTGCGTGGTGATGGAAAATGAAACTGACTATATGCCATAGCTTAAACGGAGGCTGACTTTGGTAAATTGCTTAAATTAGAATGGAATTATTGCATTCTGTGCACAGGATAGTAAATATACAAGTCTTCATCTTCCACCACAAAAATAGGCAAATTTTCTCATGGCATGGAGCTTCTCTGAAAGAGACTGGTACCCTACACCATGTATATAGTATTCTAAAGGGGGCTAGCTGGCTGTGAACATAACATAAAAAAGGGGACTATCTGGCCGTGCATCCATTCTCACACCCAGAACAATATATAAAAAGGATCTACAGGCCCCTCTCTCCATGTAGGTGAAAGCATGAGAGTTACATCTGGGAAGTCCCAGCTAAGTTAATAGATTTACCATTTAAGTTTAAAACAATCCAAGTAATGCCATTATGCGTTTTATTGTTGTGTTAAGGGACCACACGAGCACGGTTCTACATCCATAACCTCAGCAAGGATGCCGGCTAACACACCCACCCACAACAAGAAGCGCAATGCTTACGCCGCTGTTGCTGTGGATCCAGAGACTGGCTACTGCACCCCAGGAGCATTTGAGTTGGAGAGAATCTTCTGGCAAGGTCCAGCTAAATTCACCCATGTAAACGAAGTTTGGCCCAACCTGTATATTGGAGATGAGTAAGTGTACACAATGCCCAACTGCAACAGCAACATTACCTGTACTATATGAGCAACATCGCTAATGTATTTCTAAGTAACAGACTCCATTCATGTGAAATGTGACCTTATCTTTGTTTCTTGTGCATAAATAGTCAAGATTTGACAGAATCGAAAAGTCAATTAACACGTGCCATCTTTCTAGTTTGACTAACATTAAAAGGACACTATAGTCACCAAAACAACTTTAGCTTTATGAAGCAGTTTTTGTGTATAGATCATGCCCCTGCAGTCTCACTGCTCAATTCTCTGCCATTTACGAGGTAAATCACTTTTGTTTCTGTCTTTGCAGCCCTGGCCACATCTCCCCTGGCTGTGACTGACACAGCTTGCGTGACAACAAAATGGTTTTATATTTTTAATCAGAAGTAACTTACTTTAATAGTTTTTATCTCCTCATCTGTAAATTGAACTTTAAGTACATACAGGAGGCTCCTGCATGGTCTAGCAAACTATCAACAGTGCAGGAGATAATAAACAGAATTTGCAATAAATGAAGTGTAAATGAAATGAATGTTAGATGACTCTTTACAGGAAGTGTTTAGGAAGGCTGTGTAAGTCACATGCAGGGAGGTGTGCCTAGGGCTGCATAAGAAAAGGGATTTAACTCCTATATTGAAGAACAGTGCTGTGAAATTGCAGGGGCATGATCTATACACTAAAATTGCTTTCTTAAGCTAAAGTTGTGTTGGTGACTATAGTGTCCCTTTAAATAAACCCCCTTCCTTCCCTACAAATCCTAAAAGATATTTAAAATATACATACACTTTGTCAGTGAGTAGACCGAACACAGGTCTTGCTAGATGTACTCTCGTGACCAAGGTAGCCAGAGAAAAAGCATAGAAAAATCCCTATATATATTATAGGAAAACAATCCATATTTCAATCAACCATGATATCCAAATACACTTGTATAAATGCCTAAACAATATAGATTTGTAAAACGTAAAAAAACAGAAGGTTACAGAAATTGCTGCTTTGCTATTTATGGGTAATTATCATGTATTGTCATTGAATTACATCTACCTAGGTAGCGGGAGAATTAGAACAAGACGATTGGTAGTTGAGTATCTGTCTTGGAGTTACTGTCAAACTGGAGGTTTTTATCACCCGTAGTAGATGACAGAAGAATTGCATTTTGTTATTTCAAGAGATTATGCCAGTTCCCCATGACCACAATGACAAGATGTTTTAAAGTATTTGCATTACTGAACAGCACAAAGCAACAGCTATGATAATCCATGGTCACATGTATAGAGAGAGTCTTACACAATGTTTTCCACTACAGTTCTTGAATAGCACAAGGAGTGACCGTGGGTATTTTGGTCATGTTAAAAAAACCAAAAACCCTAGTATACCCCATCCCGAGCCCCCACCCGTGCTGCTCGAGTGGAGGCTATTAAACTGAAGAGGGGACCTATTGCCCCCCCGGACCCTACCCCTGAGCGGTGGTATTTTTAGGGTCTTTGTATGTGTCAATTTATTTTTCCACATAATTTTCTCTACCCCCATCACCTTTCATTTTGCCTCTCTTCCCTCCTTACTCAGACCCTTCAGGCCATGTAACGCCCATTTCCACCTTCTTTTCTTTGTCTGTCTTGTCTAAACCACTTACTTTCTCCCTCCAGCTACAATTAAAAAAAACATATATGTAAAATTTCAATATATAATTTATATTTTTTTCTCCTGTGATCCTACCTCAGGCGGTGTGTAGCTTGCTGGCTTGTTACTCTTACATCCCCCCTTCTCACTGAAGCCACGCCGCATGGGTGAGGTGTATGGGAGACAGGGGAGGGGATATGATGTGTTATCACATAGGAAATGACACAGTAAGATCACCATAGATAAAGGGATAAAAGCTTCATATTTAATATTATCTGCTCAGCTACTAACAGGGGCCATGAGTGTAAGTTAAGCAGATAGGGAATCTCTGACCTCCCAAGCTGGTTCACCACTGGGTAAACAAAGGCAGACCTCCAAATGCCTCAGGCTTAATTTCCCAAGAGCACAGCCTGTCCCTGCATGTTAGCTGTTAGTGTTGGCTGCATGTCGCCCCGTTGCCATTTGCACTGTTCGGCCGCACAGCTCGCACACCCCTAAGGCCGGCACACACACTCACTGATAGACACATACACTCATTCTCTCACACACAAAATTATTACTATTTGTCTTTTATTTATGTCCACCCAGCCTCCCTACCTTTGGGAGAGCTGGAGTGGATCCTTTCACTGGGGTCCAGTGGAACGGATATGAACCTGTAATTTTCAAGCTCTTCTAGCTCTGCTTCCTTGCATGCCGTTTAGTGATACCGGGGCCAGAGTGATGTCTTATCCTGTCTCCCTGCATCACCGCAGGGCGCGAGAGGAGCAGAGCAAGAAAAGCGGTAAGATTACAGCTCCTTTGCCGTCTGCCTTGTAGGGGACCTAAGGTGGCTCTTGGGCTCTCCATAACAGGTGGAATACAGAGGGCCCTGTAGTTCCTCCACTTCACGTTAGGTTTATCATCGCAAGCAGGGCTGAACGGGCTGGCAAACACCCATGCGTTAGGACAAAATTACCAGCTGCGACCTGGGATTTGTTGAGACCCACCTTAATGCATATTGTGTCTTTCATAAACCCACTTATGTGTCTTCCCCAGTTGGCCATTATGTCAGATTTCAAAAGTATATATAAAGGTGGGCTAACGTTTGTATCTTTTACAGAGACCGTTGCATCAGTTAGAAGCACAGCTGCGTTAATATTTCCTTCTTCGTTTTGGTCACTGTAGGAAAACCGCCCTGGACCGTTATAGCCTGGAAAAAAGCGGTTTCACGCATATTTTAAATGCAGCACATGGCCGCTGGAATGTAGACACTGGAACAGAGTATTACAGTGACATGACCGTGGAGTACTACGGGGTGGAGGCAGAAGATCTTCCAGGCTTCAACCTTAGCCAGTTCTTTTACCCTGCAGCAGAATTTATTCACAATGCACTAAACAACCCTGACAGTAAGGAATCACAGTACTATTATTATTATTATTATTGCCATTTATATAGCACCAACAGACTCTGAAGCGCTTTACAATATTATGAGAGGGGGGATTTAACTATAAATAGGACAATTACAAGAAAACGTACAGGAACGATAAGTTGAAGAGGGCCCTGCTCATACAAGCTTACAGTCTAAAATACTTTATAATCCTGTATACAGAATACTCGGTGCTAACCCAGCATCCTTGTATAGTGATGGCCAACCATGGCATTCAATGTTTGTAAACTATGTTCCTTTTGATTTCAAAGTTTAAAGGGTTATTCCAAGCACCATGACCAACTCAGTGATTTGAAGTGGTCATGGTACCTGTGGTCTATATGTGTAGCCTTTTGCTATGAAATGCTGCAGACAGAGTTTAACCTCTCTGTAACTCCACCTCCAGTCCTGTCAATGGGGTGTCTTGCCAGCCGGGAACAAGAGTTCCGGGTGGCTAATATGAATTTGGTGGTAATTTGATGTCTGAGGCCAGCAGGCACAGCATGTTGACCATACTTCTCCATGCCACCCATGTCCTCCCCTCAGCCTATGCTCCATGGTGAGTGATGTTATCTGTGACAAATCGGGCTGCAGGCATAACTTGGTCTCGACACTATTTTTAAAGGGGGGGGGGGGCACTGGTTGGAGTAACTCATTTGCTGCCGGTTGAGGCAGTAAATTGTAAATGTAGTACAAACATCTGTGGGACTATGGTTAGCCATCACCGCATTAATATTTATTAACCATTTTTTGTATCTATTGTATTATTTGAGGTTAATTAAGTGTAATTAATGTAATTTTCAAGGGCTGGCCAGACAGGTTTTTCCTAAAAGCCAAATATTTCATCTTTACAATATGCTTCAGTATATGAGCTACAATAATTTTTTTTTAATAGATCTGAAATCCGTTCTAACATATAGCTTTTTAAATTCAGGGTCATTTAACCCCTTAAGGACTGGACTGTTTTTGCAATGTTGTACATTTGCGACCAGGCCTCTTTTTACACTTTTGTGGTGTTTGTGTTTACCTGTAATTTTCCGCCCTCTCATTTACTGTTCCTATACAAATTATATATTGTTTTTTTTCAGGACAAAAAAGGCTTTCTTTACATACCATTATTTATATAATCTCATGTAATTTAATTTAAAAAAAAATATGATGAAAAATTGAAAAAAAATACATGTTTTTTGACGTTTACTTGAAAAATCTTTTACTCATCTACAAAAGGAAATAAAAAAATTGCTAAATAGATTCAAAATTTTGTCCCGAGTTTTAAAATACCCAGTGTTTACGTGCTTTTTTGCTTTTTTTTTGCAAGCTATAGGGCTATAGGTACAAGTAGGATATTGCGGTTTCAAAACATACATTTTTTCAAATTTATCAATAGTGACATTGTAACACTATTATCTGTCATAAATTTCTGAATAACACCCCACATGTACATATTATTTTAAAAGTAGACAACCCAGGGTATTCAATATGGGATATGTCCAGTCTTTTTTAGTAGCCACCTAGTCGCAAACACTGGCCAAAGTTAGCGTTCATATTTGTTTGTGTGTAAAAAAAGTAAAAAACTAAATTGAACGCTAATTTTGGCTAGTGTTTGTGACTAAGTGGCTACTAAAAAAGACTGGACATACCCCATTTGCAATACCTTGGGTTGTCTTCTTTTGCAAATGGTATGCCATCATAGGGGTAATTCTCATTCCTGGGCTACCATACGCTCTCAAAGGCAATGTAACCAACCTGGCCATTTTCAATGTAAAAATATTTGACCCTGTAACTTTCAAAAACTCTATAAAATCTGTACATGGGGGGTACTGTCATACTTGGAAGACTTTGCTGAACACAAATATTGGTGTTTCAAAACAGGAAAACGTATCACAACAATTATATCATCAGTAAAAGTGCTGTTTGTGTGTGAAAAATGCAAAAAAAAAGTCACTTTCACTGACAATATCATCACTGTGATATGTTTTACTGTTTTGAATCACTAATATTTGTGTTCAGCGAAGTCTCCCTAGTAAAACAGTACCCCCCATGTACAGGTTTTAGGGTGTCATAGAAAGTTACAGGGTAAAATACAGTGCTAGCAAATTAAATTCTCTGTACTTTCGGCCTGGGTTGACAGGCAGGTCCCTCAAATTGCAATTAATAAAATTACTTAATTATGTAAAAATATTACATAAATATGCACGTAGAATTTAAATATATATATTCATATTTATATATTTGAAGTCTACGTGTATATTTATATAATTATTTATGTAATTTTGTATATGGACATATATTTCGTATTATTTTTATTTATTTATATATACATAGATATATACAATTTCATTCTAAGTGTATTTTGATAGAAATATATATATATTAATATCAAAATATAGTTAGAATAAAATTTCATATAGATATATAATTTTTTTTAAATTTTTATTATTATTTTAAAATTTTATTTAATTTACTTATTATTTGTATTTTATAATAATATATATATATATACACACAATATATATAGTTATTATATATATATATATATATATGTGTGTGTAATTTAATTATAAGTGTATTTTTACATTAATATATGTATATATTAATATAAAAATACACTTAGTATGATATGATATATAGACATATATTATATAGATATAATATGTCTATATATCATATATATATACACATATATAATAAGATTTTTATTTATTAATATTAACCTTTTTATTTTTTTATTTTACACTAGCAGGGAGACTGCCTGTCAGCACAGGCAGTCCTCCTTCAGGCAGACACATGGACACCTACTGTGACCATCTGATCACTCTGTTGAGCGATCACATGGCCCAAGGGGTCCTAATCCACCGCGGGGAGACTGCCTGGGCTGCAGGCAGTCTCCCCACACCGGGAGCAACGCCAATCGCCGCCGGGGGAACGACGGCAATCGGGTTAGTACATTGCACCGTTAGGACGGTTCAGGACCGCAACCGGTCGGCAATGCAAAAATGCCAATGACGGTTCTGAACCGTCCTAGGTCGTTAAGGGGTTAAAAAAAATACAAATGAAAAATTTCTACTTTCATCACAAAATGCCAACTTTCCCTTACTTTCTATTCTATTTCTATCCACTATGTCTTTCTCTCTCTCTCTCTGTGTATATATACACACACACCCAAACACGTGTAAAAAGTTCAGGGACCTAAGCATAAATATTTTGATTCAAAGCAGATCCATCTCCAAAAATAAGTTTAATCTAATTTGCTTTTATAGAACTCCCTGTGCTTACATCTCCTTTTTATTTTTTTTCCTGAGCAAGGTTTCATAATATACCTCCCAACAGTGGGAGTATGCAAAGCAGGACAGGTGGGCATCCCTAAAGGGGACCAAAATGGGTCGACCCTGAGCCTATTTACGCTATTTGCAGGGTCCTAATGCCTGTTCACATCTAATGATGTACTTGTGCTGTAGTTCCCAAAGACAGTTAGTTCCCTGGTGTCCCAGTAAATCGGGACGGTGGGACAGGACCCTAAAACCTGGACTTTTCTGCTGAAATTAGGACAGTCGAGAGGCCTGTATACATAAAGTATGTTATTTCTCTCTCAGTATTGCAGGGGCTAAAAGACAATAGACCAGGTCAACCTCTCCTGCATGCTCGTCACTTATCTTCTCACCTTTTACCAACAGTTTTTCTCTTTTTAAGTTATGAAAGTTTCTAGTAATAAATATAATTATTTGTACCCAGGACATACTTGAAAACGAGAGAAATTTCAATGTATCTTTCCTGGTAAAATAGTTTATAAATAAATAGATAATTAATCATATAGTGACACATATTTTAATGTGCTTTCTTATTTACTACAAGTTAAGGTATAGAATATTCTTATATGTGTCAATAGGACAAATTTCTTTGCTCATACACATTAAATGTCAATTCTTTTTGCAGGTAAAGTGCTGGTGCATTGTGCCATGGGTCGTAGCCGATCTGCCTCTCTGGTATTAGCCTATCTGATGATTTATAAGAAAATGACAGTGGTGGATGCAAGCACTCACGTCCTAAAACATCGCTGCATCTTGCCAAATCGGGGCTTCCTCAAGCAGTTGAGGGAGCTGGATATTAAATTGGCTCTGGAAAAGCGAGAAGCTAGGGCCCAGATGAATGGGACACAGAAGGATGAGTGATACCCAGTGAAATGGAGATGGGGGGAAAAAAAAATCGCCAAAGACGTGGCCCAGGATGTGCTTTACACAGGAGGGAAGCAGACATACATTGTGCACTAAAATCTTTGTATTTTCAATTTGTTAGTATCAGTCTGAGTTGAGTTGGTCTAATCAAGTTGTGGAATTCATTACTCTCCTGCCGGATTTGAGCGTATTTTATTTTAAAATGGTTTTCGATACAAATGTTTTCAAAAATAGTTTTTTTACAACCTATGTTAATATTGTTATGTTTAGAGCTGTGCATATAAAGTAGTTCAGAACTAAGGAAGTGTTGGATGGTACAAGGCTAAATGATTTACAGGAACGTAACATATCCAGGAATCGAAAAAAGCAATTGTACTCCTTTTTGGTCCAGCATTCAGGGGCTTCTGGTTTGTACCTAGGAACTTAGAAATATGTGTCGTTTTCAAATAATGTATTGTGTTATTTCATGACTACTGATGGTCTTCATTCATTTTTCTTTATGGCCAATTATCACTTTATTACAAAAAGTGTCTTTGAGAAAAAGAAAATTATCTCTCACATTTGATGAAATCCTTTTATAAGAAGCAAACATGAACACATATGGCCAGGTTATGGGAAGAAAGATAGAAAAAAAAGAAAATGAACATTACTTTATACATCACATTTTAGTCTTACCATTTATTGTATCAAATTCTTAATGTATTTAATTTAAATCACTTAATTAAATACTAAAATATTAAACAAAAGAAAAGTGCCTTGTTTTGGTTGTGAATGCTATTAAATCATCCATATTAACAATGTTACAAATGCCAAATTGAGTAGAAAGAGGAAGACATCAGTTTAAAACAACATTCCTTACAGTGAAAATCATTTTTCCTAAAGCCATTTTGTTTTTTTCTTTACAATTTTTTTTAACCCCAATCGAAAAATAAAAACTTTAATTAAAATTTGCGTAAACTAACAGGACATCTCCCAGCATTCCACTGTGCACACAATAGGAAACTCTTTTTTTTTTACTTGCTGGAGTATGCCAAATCCCTTCTATGTTTAAACCAAGTTTGTAAAAACATTTTATCAGCACAAGGCATAGGCTCTTTCAACCCCTTTATTCTCAATGATACCAGCGAAAACATGACAATGGAGCTATCCTTGTCAGCCACTTACAACATTGACTCTTGGAACAAGTAGCAGGTTGTGAAACACCAACAGAGATACACAGCATTAATAACACGGTCTTCACTCCACGTTTGGAGTTTAGAACAGTGCCAGACCTGAATGAAGTGGTCTGGGTGTAGTGCCTCGTGTTACACATCTTAGTTACATAGTAGACATGTGCAAATCGTTTGGGTCTGAATTTAAATTCAACGAATTTCAGCGATTCGGACATTGTCGAAGTGCCGAATTTCGGAAGCGCCGAACCGCCGAATTTCGGAAGTGCCTAAATGCTTTGAAATTCTGAAAAGTGGCAAAACAGGAGAGGGAGGGAAAATGAAGGTAATGATGACAAGAAATCTAACCCTAACCCTACTCCTAACCCTAGTAGGGGTAGGGCTGGGATTAGGAGTAGGGGTAGGGTTATGGGTTAGGTAAGGGGTATGGTTAGGGTAAGTCCCGAAATTTGGAAGTGCCGAACCAAACTGAATTTTTTTGCCCATCCACATCCCTATTACAGAGTTACATAGCTGAAAAGAGACGTGCATCCATCCATCAAGTTCAGCCTTCCTCACATATGTTTTTGCTGTTGATACAAAAGAAGGCAAAAAACCCAGTCTGAAGCACTTAATGACCCCTTCTTGACCCCAAAATGGCAGTCAGATACCTCCTTGGATCAAGCAGCTATTACCCCACTAATGAGAAATTATATCTCTATATGTTATGTTTTTGGAAGTATTTATCCAATTGCTGTTTAAACATCTGTATGGACTCTGATAAAACCACCTCTTCAAGCAAAGAATTCCATATCCTTATAGTTTTTACTGTAAAAAAACCCAAAAAACTTTTCTTTGCCTTAGACTAAATCTCCTTACTTTCAGCCTAAATGTGTGACCTCGAGTCCTATGTATAGTCCTGTTTATGAATAGATGTCCAAATAATGGTTTGTACTGGCCCCAAATATATTTGTATAATGTTATCATATCCCCTCTGAGGCGCCATTTTTCCAAACTAAAGAGATTTAAATTTTTTAACCTTTCTTCGTAACTAAAACGCTCCATTTCTTTGATCACTTTTGTAGCTTGTCTCTGCACTTTTTTTAGTGCCATGATATCCTTCTTTAGAACAGGTGCCCAAAATTGCACAGCATATTCAAGGTGTGGTCTTACTAGTGATTTATAAAGAGGCAAAATTATATTCTCATCGGGAGAATTTATGTCCCTATTTATACATGACAAAACCTTACTGGCCTTAGCAACTGCAGATTGACATTGCATATTGCTGCCTAATTTATGATCTATAACAATTCCCAAATCCTTCTCGTGTGTGGTTACCCCTAATTCACTACCATTTAGGGTGTAAGTTGCTTGTGCATTCTTGACCCCAAAGTGCATAACTTTGCATTTCTCTACATTAAATTTCATCTGCCTTTTTAGTGCCCAGTCCCTCAATCTAAATCCCTCTGCAGCAAAGCAATATCCTGCTCACATTTTATTACTTTACAAATTTTTGTGTCATTTGCAAACACTAAAACATGTATTTTAATGCCTATTTTAAGATCATTTATAAATATGATAAATAGAAGCGGTCCCAAAACAGAACCCTGAGGGACACCACTTACCACTGTTGTCCAGCTTGAAAATTTACCATTAATGACAACTCGTTGTACTCTATCCTTAAGCCAATGTTCTACCCAAGAACAAGAATAGTTAGCTAGACAAATTTCTTTTAGTTTGAAGACTATCCTATTGTGAGGGTTCGTATCAAATGCCTTGGCAAAATCCAAGTAGATCACACCCACTGCAACACCCTGATCTATACTTTTTTTTTTTTTGTAAATATGTTTTTATTGAACATTTCGTTATTTTTTTTTTCCGTTTGTTATCAACATGGAACAGAAAAACATGGACACGCAGGTCCCTTTGGTCATTTGTACATGTTTATACGTCTCGGCGACTCGCAGGTCGCTTTCTTGAGTAAGTGGTGGGTGCATAGTTACGAATAGTACTTTATTATATCTGACGTGTACCTTTTCTACATTGGGTAGTTTTGTATGTCCCGCCAATTTTCGTCTATTCCCCCATGCCCACCCTGTAGCCATCATGCAGTCATAGGACATGTGGGGCACCTACTGTGTAGGGTCCCATCAGGGCACGCAGCCTCCTTGCGACCCCGTGTCTAGGGTCCAGGATGGTGGTATAGTGGGGTGTTGACCCCCTACTCTGGTACAATTCGGTTCTGCACAGCGTTATACATGGTGTTGGTGGGAATAACCTAAGGGGCATCCTGCGTTTCCTTCTAAACTAATCAAATTTGTAACTCGCGGAACTGGTGCTCTTCCACCCCCGTACCCGTGGGGCCGTAGGCCGTTTTGGGCACTGCAGGTGGCCGCACCCCGACAGGTATCATACCCCCCAGCACACCCCTGAGGGGTCGGCCCCCCGCATCCCCGAGCCCGTGCTCCTCCTGGACCTGACAGTGGGTGGGGTAGGGTGAGGTACTGCGTCTTGGGCCAAGGGTGGGTCGTCCCATTAGGCTTCTGGTGTCTCCTCCTGGGGGTCGTCAGTTCCTCCCCCCATGGTCAAATGCACAGTCCGAAATGCCTCCGTTCCCACCCGTGCCAGCCAGGGTGTCCATGTGTCTAAGTATGTCTGCATTCGGTCTTGGGCTGAGTACCAGATTTCCTCTGTTACTCGTAACTCCTCCATTCTAGTAAACCACAGGGAAAGCTTTGGGGTTGTGTCTTTTTTCCAGTACAAAGGTATTAGGTGTTTCGCGACATTAAGAATGCGGATGGTCAGGGAGCATTTGTAGTGTGGTGTGGGGGTTGTCGTGTGGTGCAGGAGGTACGGGGCGGGCTGGAAGGGTGGAACATTGTCCGTGAACAGGGCCACCATGGCAGCTATTTTCTCCCAGAACGGTACTATGAGTGGGCATTCCCACCATATGTGGAGGAAGGATCCCACCCCTCTCTTGCACCTCCAGCAAAGGCCGTCCATGTCTAAGTGCATTCTCTGTAAGCGTTCTGGTGTCAAGTACCATTGTGTGAGGATCTTGTAGGCCGTTTCCTGCGTTTTGCTAGCAATTGCGCAGTGGTGCACTAGGTAGCAGATCTTGTGCCACTGGGTCTCGGTAAGTGTTTCTCCTACGGCGGTCTCCCATTTGGACATGAAGGGGGGTGGGGGTTGTCCCTGTTGTCGTTGTAGAATAGAGTAGAGGTGGGAAATGCTATGGGGCATGGGCTCCGGGTCCTGGCACAACTGTTCGAATTGCGTGAGATCCCTATAGACGTCGGGGTGTTGTGGTATGGCGGTTATGTAGTTCTTAATTTGGGTGTACCTAAATGTCGTCATGAAGGGGTGGGTGGGTGTGCCTGTGAGCGTCTGTAGGGGCAAGATTTTCCCATTGGCAGTCATGTCTCGGAGTCTGGGTATGTTTTGTGGGAGGACGCAGCAGAGGTTTCCTGGTCTTACCCCCAGTTCAAAGTCCAGGTTGTACACCAGGTGTAGTAGTGGGGATGGGAAGGAGGAGAGGCGTAGTTTCCTCTCCTGTGTGTGCCATATGGTTAAGGTGGCGGTGATGAAGGGTTGTTGGTAGACTAACCGCCACCCTTCAAGGGGTCCAGCCACAGAAGGGCTGAAAGGGGCCTGCCTGCGTGGTGGGTTTCAATGGCCTTCCAGGGTTTGCTAATCCCCTCTTTTGCCCATTCCAGGGCCCGTTGCATGTGGCATGCTTGGTAGTACAGTATGAGGTCAGGAACGGCCAGGCCTCCTGCTGTTTTGGGGAGTGTGAGTTGTGTGTACTTGAGTCTGGGTTTAGTGCCCTTCCAGATAAATTTAATAAGGAGGGTGCGGAGTGCTGCGGTGGTAGGGAGTGGGATTGGTAGTGTCTGGAATAGGTAGAGGACCCGTGGGAGACTGTTCATTTTGGCAAGCCAGGAAAAGGGCCCATTCTGTCAGATTCTTCCGTATGGTTCCCAGCAGTGGGGTGAAGTTCATATGGTATAGTTTGGATAGGTCGGCTGTGAGCCTCACCCCCAGGTATTTAATCGCGGTGTCCCGCCATTGGAAGGGAAAGTTCCGTCGGATTTGGTCTGCCCTCCTCTGGGGGGAGCCAATATTGAGGATAGAGGATTTAGCATAATTGATCTTGAGGTTGGCGATTTGGCCGTATGTCTTAAACTCTGCCATGAGGTTTGGGAGGGAGATTTCCGGGTTAGTGATGAAGAATAGCATATCGTCCGCATATGCTGCGATTTTGTGGTGGTCTGTCTCCACTGCCCCCCCGAGATATCTGGGTTATCCCTTACCACTTGTAGGAAGGGCTCCAGGGTTAAGATAAATAAAAGCGGCGACAGGGGGCAGCCCTGCCTGGTTCCGTTCCTGATCGGGAATGCATCCGTATAAACCCCGTTTATGCATACCCTGGCCGTGGGGGATGAGTAAAGAGATTCTATCCACTGGCGCATGTGGGTCCCCAGGCCGACATGTTCCAGTACCGAGAATAGAAAGTCCCATGCCACCCTATCGAAGGCCTTCTCCGCATCCGTAGAGAGGAGGAGAAGGCTCTCCGAGGTGCACTGCGCGTGGTGGATCAGGGAGAGGGCCCGGACCGTATTATCTCTAGCTTCCCTGTGGGGGACGAAGCCCACTTGGTCAGGAGAGATTAAGTCTGGTATGTGTGGGTTCAACCTTGTAGCTAGTATTTTAGCGAACAGGTGTAGGTCGCAGTAGCGATATAGGTCGATAGCCCGTACACCGTTCGGTATCTCCCCCCTCCTTCGGCAGCAGGACAATGTTGGCCGCCAGTGTTTGCTGGGGGATGGTATTTCCCTCTGTTATGGAGTTGAAGGCTGAGACATATCGGGGGGACAGTGTGGTCAGGAAGGTTTTGTAGTATTTGAGGGGGAGGCCGCCTGGGCCCAGGCTTTTGCCTGTCTTTGAGGTTTTGATGGCCAGGGCCAGTTCCCCCTCCGTCAGGGGTGCCTCCAGGGCCTCCGCTGCGTCTGGGGAGAGTTTGGTTTTGGTGTATTTAGTGAGGTATGCGTTCATGCGGGTCGCTCCTAAGCTCGGGTCTGCTCGAGGGGCGTGGGAGGGGATCACGTAAAGGTCTGTGTAGAAGCGAGTGATAGCTGGAGCGATTTGGTCTGGCATGTGGTGTAGTTGGCCTGCGGCGTCGCGCATGCGTGCAATGTATGTCATGGAGCGTTTTTTATTGATCATTCCTTCTGTGTAGAAAAAGGATTTAGTGCGCTGGAGGGCCCTAGTGTACGATTGCCACAGGACCCATGCTAGTTCTTCACGGGCTGCTGTGAGTTCCCCAAGAAGTGTTAGGGTCCCTATCTTAGCAGTTAGTTCTCGGATCCTATGTTCTCGTGCCCTTTTCAGGGCAGAGGTGTGTGAGATAAGGATCCCTCTAATCACACACTTGTGGGCCTCCCATGTCAAGAGGGGGGATGTGTCCTGCGGTAAGTTCTCAGCGAAGTAATTCATCAGGGCTTGTTGTACGTCTCGGGTCACCTGCGGGTTGGAGAGAAGGCTTTCGTGGAGCCTCCATGACGTAGTTTTGGGTTTGCATAGTGGCGATGTGAGTTGAATCGTGAGTGGTGCGTGGTCGGACCACATTGTCCCCCCTATGGCTGAGTCACGCAGTCTGGGTAGGTGGTAATATGGAAGGAAGAAGTAGTCGATGCGTGTGTAACAGTCATTCGGTGTTGAATAGAAGGTGTAGTCCCTAGCCGACGGGTGTGTCGCCCTCCAGCAATCCGTAAGCCTGTACTGGTGGAGAAGTTTACGAATTTTGACCAGTGTGGGGGGGGGGTGTCGATGAGTGGCCCCTGGAAGCGTCGTTGGGTGTAAGGCGATGTTGAAGTCCCCTCCCAGGACCAGACAGCCTGTCGTGAAGTCGTGCAGGGCCCGCAGTGTGTCCCGAAGGAATTTATCCTGTCGCGTGCTTGGGGCATAGATGTTGGCAAAGGTATAGGTTTTGTCCAGGATTTTACCCCTAACAAATACATATCTGCCCGAATTATCCGTCATGGTTGAGTCAGCTACGAAGGGTATGGATTTGTGTAGGAGTATTGCGGTCCCCTTAGATTTCCCGTCCGGGTTATTGCTGTAGAAGCCTTGGGTGTATATGTGGTTACTGAGTTTCGGAGCAGAGTCGGTTTTAAAGTGGGTTTCTTGGAGATAGACCACATGGGCTCTAGTTTTCTGGCAGAGGCGTAGGGCATGTGACCTCTTTTCGGGGGAGTTTAAGCCCTTTGCGTTTAGGGATAGGAAGTTGAGTGGGGCTGGTGCGTATTTGGGCGCAAGTGTAGCCATATTGTCAAGTCCCCCGAGTGTCTGAGTCGCCCCAGTCTGTGGGGGCGGGTGAGGGCCCAGGTAGGAAGAGCCCGGTCCGGGGCAGGCAGGGCGGAGCTGGGTAGTGGGTATCCCCGTGCGGCGGGGCACGGAGGGGACGACCGCCCCTGTAATAGAGCACAGGCACCGGCTTCAGGGGGGAAATCCCCCGGCCCGGAGAGCGGAGCGGAGCGGGGGACGACCCCCCCTATACAGAAGACACCGACCTCGCGGGGAGTGGAAGGCGCCTTGTCAACCAGCCAACAGAGGTGGCTATGGATCACAACAAACACTAACAGTTGTAACTCGAACCTGTGATATACTTTTGTCGCGTCTCCGGGGTGAGTCTCCCAGGGTATGGTCGGGTTCCAGCCGGACCTGTGACCTCTCGGTGATACCTTTGTGTGTCTGCGGGAACTCACCCCCGGGTCCCGACATTGTCTAGTCTGAGGGGAAGGTCTACGAGCCGACCCAGGGCTTAACCCCCCTACTACAGCTCATATATCTAGGATGCTAAGAGACCCCACCCCCACCCAGCCTCCCCCCAGCCCCTTCCCCCACGTGCACCTGTGTGGCCCCGTGGTGCCGTTCCTCTCGCCCCGAAAGCGGTATGGAGGGCCCGTGTCCTCCCTGAGGGCATCCCAATTAATGGACCCCCCATCTGTATGGTGGTGGGTGGTGTTGCTCTGGGGTCAGCCCATCTCTGGTCTGTGTGTGCGGGTGCTTATGCAATGTTATATACAAAGCTGTACCCCGGTGTAGCCTATTCTGGCACCTCTCCAGTGTTGCATACGAACCAATAGACATTTTGAACTAGCACAAGTGTATAACCCGTGATATAAATAGTAGACAAGTTTAGCATGTGTAGGAGGCAATTCTAGCATAAACAGGCATATACCCCATATTAAACAGAGATAAAGCAAGTAGGGAGAATAATTTTAGCATGCACTGGCACATATGAGGGTTATGTACAATGCAGTGGGCCATTTCAGCATGTGCAGGCGCGTGTGACCCACGAAACACAGTGCAGTGGGTGCCACCACTTGCAGGCGCTACTAGGTTCCACAGTCCCTTGGGCCACGTCCCACAACCCACCCAACCCCATCGGGACGGGGCCCCATGTCCATGGTGAAGCTTCTGAGCGGCATGGCCATAGGTGGGGTATGGCTCGGCAACCGTTCGCACAGCCCGGCAAGGTGTGCTGTTCTGAGGGGTGGAGGGGCAGAGTGCCAATATGGGTTTCCAATCGATGGGTTGGCCAAGTTTGTACCTTGAGACAGTGTCTAAGTCCTGTAGCGGGACTGTGTGTGCCCCAGAGAGGGCAGGCCGTAGCGGGGCATAGTGTGGGGGAAGAGGGGGGAAAGTCATGCCCTCTAGCGGGCGGTACCTGTAGGCCTAGTGGCCTCCTG